GTTTATGAGATCTTAGAGGGGTTTATAGGATCTTATAGGATTTTACGAGGTCTTATAGGAGTTTATAAGACTTTAGAAGGTTTTACATTTTTTTATGGGGTTTTATAGGGTTATGTAGGGGTATATTGTAGACCCCTGATTAATAATCCCCATTCCTTTTAAACGCCGGATCCCTTTATAATCTCTTTTAAGGGGAGATAATCCCCCTTCCTTTTGGATCCCTATTATAATCCCTACTAGGGGGTATGAACATGGGTCTACATTATTCCGCTCCCCTAATATTAAACGCCCCCCACCCCCCTAATATTAAATGCTCCCCATTGTGGTATATTATATTGAGAGTATCTAATATTAGGGGGGCGGGGGGGGATTTTAATATTCGGGGGAGGGGGTTAGGGTGTTCGGGCCTGGTTTGTCCATAGGATGTGTAAAGGAACCTTGGGCCAAAGAACCATGGAAGCCCCTCCTGGGAAAGGGGTAGTAACCTTTGTAGGTCTACCTTGAGAATTTCCTGCTGGTTTGTCAGGAGTGCCGTGGACGAGTAGGCTTTCGGAGAGCAGTTTAGGGTTTAGGGTATAGGGGTTCTGGGTATAGCATGGGGTTCAGGGTTAGCAATTGTGCTGAGGAGGCCGGTTGTGTGGAGGATGTTTAGGTCGAAAAAATGGATTGCTGTGACGGAGGTTGAGCTAAATTACCATGAGAAGGAAGCCCATTCTTACAATCAAAGTAAGCATGTTACGGTACTTTCATTTAAGCTCCAGAACAGCAACCCTGAAAAGAACTCCGGAATTGATAGGATCAGGTTTCTCAACTAAGTGAAACGTGGAGGCTGGATTGGATCTCCCGGGTGAGCTGTGGGAGCTCCTAGAACTCTGAGTCCCCTCCCCCTCATTCATGTCCTCCACCCACCTAGGGTTTACATAGGGGCTATATAGGCATAATGGAAAAGAAAGTGGAAACCACTTTATTACAATACTGTTCATATGAGCCATAGTCTAAACTCCGAGTATCCCCCTTAATAAGCCATATAGTAGTCCCCTATACAAACCCCTACATAACCCCCCTTTAAGGAGTTTAGACTATGGCTCATATAGGGTATACGCCCCTGTAAAATAGTCCAGGAGGTTCATCATAGTGTTGCCCTTCCTCAAGGTATGCTCAACAGCAGGCATGGCATAGCTCCTGAAGGGCTACTAAAACATGTGGCGTAAAGGGCTAAACACGGTATGATCCAGGCCTGGATTTGTGGACTTGTGTCGGTCGACTATCCGTTTCTAAGATCCATTGCCGTAGGTGTCTCGAGATGTGTGGTCGTTTGGGGGGAGAACAGCCAATCTGTTCACAACACTATCAGATACCTATCAGATACACTCTCAGCTGATTGAGACGAAGGAAGCAGTTTTCATTGTGATGACCATTTTGGCAACGTGTGAAAATCAGTCCCACTCTTTTCCCTGAAGCTGGAGGGTTTTTTACGACCACGACAGGAGACCTCAGTTTTTCAGGCGTGAAATACACTAGTAATTCACCTGGTCTTTCTGCGCAAGGGAGAGTGGGGGAGTGGTTCCCTGTCGTCGTCCCCATATTTTAATCCCCATATATACCCCCATAACGGTACCTAGATTGACTCACCCACTCCCCCTTAAGTACCAGTAGGTAGTCGGCGGTTGCCTGCTGGCCAGGTGTAGAGGCGTTAACCGAAGCAAGGTCGAGATGAGCAGCTCCGAATTCAGGTCTTCCAGTCGCGGTAGCACCCCCTTGTGTAATATGTAAGTCATGAAGCAATGATGTGGAACTACCTAAATATGTGGATTATTATGTGAAGGCTACGCAGGGCTCATTTTTGGAGCCGAGCAGCTACTGATGTCCAGCCATGCAGGCAGTTTGGAAGTTAGAGGGGCTGGAAGACATTCTTGCACAAGTACGAGCTGCAAACTACTTTTGAGAAACACACACTAAAAACACATGCAATAGATTGTCTGCGATGTCTTGGGGTGTGTACTCCATGGAAACTGTCTCGAATCAGGACGATCAGCAAACAGAGAGATTGTCTACCTTCTCCGAGGAAGCAATCCACAATCACTACGCCACCGTCGCGTATACACGAGTCTCGTTCGTAGCATTTTTACCACACAACGACAACAGCGACAGCTAGTACACTCATTGCTACTTGTGACGCTTCGCGGCTGCTACTCCAGTGCGGGGTTGGGGCGGTGGTGCCGTTAGCCAGCTGCTGCTGGACTAGGACTGCTGCGGCTACCGCTGCTACTCCAACTGAAGCAGTGGCTGCTACCACACGTTATGACAGCTAACGTGACCATGATAACGACGATCAGGACAACAAGGGCGAGGATGAGAACACGATCACCACTACTGACAGTAGTCTTGCAACTTGTAATCGCCACCCCTCTCAAACATTCCTCAGCCAGGAATGTTATTGATGTTTGGTTGATATTTATCGAAAGAATTAGACAGGCCCCCACCAAATAAATCAACTACTTAAACGAAAATAGACAACACGATGTCGCAAATTAGCAAAGCAGGCAATTCATGCTAATTAACAATTCATCTGCTTTCCTTTGGAATAAGAGCTGGTTATCGCTGCTTATAATTTACAAAAAATGTGAACAAATAATTCTAAAAACAAATCAAGGCGACCCCTAGTTAACAATTAGATTAGATTTCATTTCCTCAAGTTCCTTTACAGAAAAAACGTGACTAACAAAGTAGTCAAAGAGCACAGCCTGTTTTAAAAAGCGCGAAAACCATTGAAACTAGGAAATGAAGGAGGTCCCTATTTTCCTCAACTAATGCGGGAACAACAAGCACTAGAACGGCAATGGCTATGATGGCCACAACTATGGCTACAATGCCTGCTGCAACCAGTATGAAAAACAATACTATATCAATATATCGGGTACTGCTGCTACAACTGATTCTGGTACTACGGCTGCTACTACTGCTGCATCTTCTTTTGTTCTTACGTCGCCACTAGGTGCTAACGTAATACTGTTGTCACGGTGCGAGGTGCGGAACCATTACCAACATGTGCACACTGTACCACTACCCAAGAAATTCGCAGACATGGCTGTGCGCGTGCGCGACATGAAGCTGCAGGCTCCAGAGCCTTCTCTGGGAAACTCATTCGTGAGCGGAAGGTCAAAACGCGGAGTCACATCGCAGGGTACCAAATGGCATACTGTTCCCAACTTCCCAACCCCGTATGTATCCTTGGAAAGCCAATTGGATTCTGAGCCGGACAGGCTGAGTAAAGCGATCACGAAATGACTGCTCGCTTCCTTCCGCCTGGCAGCTAATGATTGCACAGCCCCGACAGCTTCCCGTGCAAACACAAGAAGGTCTGGGCTCTTGGCTAATAACTCACCAAGTCTGCTATGATGATATAAAAAGATTAGCTACGAGGCCAACAGAGAGCTAGGCAGGAACATGTATCGATCTGATGAGGCACAGGTTGCTTCTGTGACTTCTTCTTCTGCGCTCCTATAATACAGGCCTAAAAATCAGCCTTGGAGGCGCTAATGTCGTCAAGACAAAGAATGGGTTTCATTGCTGTAGTCGCCTTTATAGTAGCCGTAGAAATAGCTAGAGTAGGCTGGGGAGGACAACGGTTGTGCTGGTAGGAGCAAGTGCCGTCGCGCTTAGCAGTAGCAGCAGGCAGGAGGAGCAGCAGCCGGAGTAGTAGGGAGTGGAAGTAGCAGGGGTAGTAGTAGGAGTAAGAGAAATGGAAGTAGCGAGTAAGATGTTGCTATCGTGGCAGGATGGCGGTGGTAACGGTGGGCTGGGACGGCAGCAGCGGTCGCGGTCTGGGCAACAGGGGTAGTGGAGGTGGTCGAAATAATCGTCACCCACCATCATCGTACTGTCATCGTCACGTTGTCATCGCCGTCCTTGCTGTCGAGCAGTAGGAGTAGCAGCAGCAGCAGCAGCAGCAGCAGCAGCAGTAGTAATAGCAGTGGTAGCAGTATAGCGGGTAGTAGGAGTTGTGGTAGCGGTACTCGTAGTGGCTAGAGGCGGAGGAGCAGAACCAGCAGCAGCCGCAGGCTACCTATCGTTCAGATATGTTGGATGTTTGCCCCGGGAAGTCAAAAATGCGGCACCTAAACAAATCTTGCCCTGGGCATTCCCACTTTTCAAAAGGAAGCCCAGGTTTCACTTGCGCCCTCTGCGATCCACATATTAGGGTTGGATGCTCCAGGGCCCCAGTCGCTCCCCTGTCGCCCCCTGAACTGCTGGTAGGTAGTTGTTGCTTCTGAAACCCTAGAACAGGCTAATGGCCCAAGACTCCAACCCGGATATACAATTAAACAGCAGAGCCAGTCAGCAGCTGCATGTGAAGTTCACCGTTTCCCCAAACCTACAAGGAGCCGCACCACGGCGCCTCGCGTTTCATCAGGGGAATCTGGGCCGGGGTCCGCGTGGTGAGATGAAATTAACCAGCTAATGCCCAATGTCCCCGCAATATTTCCCACATGTGATAGTATCCCATAAGGGGAATATTGAACTGTTGAACATGGGGATGGTGGATTTTGATATTCGGGGATGGGCTTTCAGGGTGTATGTAGATGAGGGAGCAGGGCTCAAAATTGGATTTGGACCCGCGAACCGGATTCCCACTATTGCAAACTCGAGTCTATTGCATGCCCCCAGACGTCATTGGATTCTTTTTGGGGGAGGAGAGAGCATGGCAAAGCTCCGGCTAAACGAACCAATGCATTTTTAGGGTCCTTACTTTTTTAAAATCCAGAATTTGGAGGCATGCCTTGAAAAATAACCAAAGACGCAGGCAAGCCCTTTGCAACTGCAGGATCCGGAGCAGAAATGTGGCCTAGTCTGGTGCTCCCTACCTTGTGCCTGCACGTGCATGGCAACTGGAGAATATATACAACACCCAAAGGATCACCAATCCAAATTGGGCATGGTGGCAACCCATGTTGGATGCTGCGATGAAGGTTGAATCAGCTCAGCTGATCCCAAGGCCTTCAGATGTGTAGCACATTCAGCTGAAAGCCAATAGTGCCCACAATCGCTGTAGAAAAGTAAACGAACTTCTGGAGCACACCTAGTGTAACACGGGTGTCCCACATGAAGAAACCAGCCTCACTCAAACTCAGAAACAACCTGGGTTGCTGTTAAGGAACTTAAATGAAGTTACTTTATTGGGGAAACCCTTGTCTTTACTATATATACCCATTGTGGTAACCCTAAACCCTAAACCCATTATGGTAACTTAATTTAAATTCCTTAACAGCAACCCAGCAACGAGAGATTCATGTACTCCTGCTCCATCTCATCGTCACCATCCTCAGTTACTCAAGGCACCTCTGACTGAAGCTTGGTTGGGGCTATATTGATTAGGGTTTAGGGTTTAGGGTTTGTATTGGGATAATGGAAAAGAAAATGGAAACTGCTAGGGGTTATACTGGGGTTGTATTGGGATAATGGAAAAGAAAATGGAAACTGCTACTTCAATTGTGGAAGGAAAGCTTGAAACCAGAGAGGGCGAGATTCCGGGGAAAGAGGCACCCTCAAAAAAGTACACCCAACGGCTCTCCCTAAACCCAAATGGTGAGCTCCCGCTACAGCCGAGCTTCAAGGCTTGCTTCAATTAATTAAATGGGCCCTTTCTAAAATTAGGGGTCCCTTTTGGGAGTCCCCAGAAATGGGGCTTGTAGTGTTTGGGGATATATCAGGGACCATCACTTTTTTGGAAATATCCCAAGCACTTTTGGTTTCTTTCCCCCAGAGGTTACCCCTCCAGATTTCCACCAAGCCATCATATCCCACCATGCCAAGCATCAAGCATGCTGACCAAAGAGGGGAGCCTAGCACAGTGAGCCGATGCAGAGGCTGCCACGTACCTTGAGATTGCTATGCTTGGTGTCCGGGGATGGGGAGGGGTGTTGGGCTGCAAAGGCAGGGGAGTCGCCTACACTTACAAAATGCAATCGTCCACAGCTAAGCACTACTGTGGTTGTCAAAGAGAAAAGCATCTTCCAACCTATGCCTATCTCGTTGTGCTGATCATGCTCTATTAGAGCTCCGTCAAAATGGCTCGATTAGAGCTCCCTCAACGTAAGTTTATGGAAACCAATGCGGCTCAACGCTTACCACCCCATACCTTAGCTCCTGCACACCTCTGATCTTGCGTGATGTCTTCCACTTGAGCCATTGTCTGAACTCCTAGTATCCCCTTTAACAGGCCCCAGAGTACTTCCCTATAAGATCCTTTATAATCCCCCTTAAGGAGTTTAGACTATAGCTCACTTGAGGGGGTAAGCTGCCCAAACTGTCATCCCAAACTGTCATCCAAGAGGCAACGAGCTGAGCAGGCTCCCTGCAACCACCACATTGGGAAGCACGTGCATCATCAAGCCCTGAGGAGCATCAACCGGGCTGGACACTGGATCCCTAAAACCCTAAACCCTAGTAATTTAGGGGTTTAAGGTTTGGGGTTGGGTTTAGGGTTTAGTGTTAGGGTCCTTTGATATCCCGGAACCCTAACCAAAAGTTATGTGAGATTAGGGCAAGTTACGCCCCATTAGACTCCTGAACCCTGAAACCCTACATGGGCGTAGTGCGAAACTATGCTTACTGATCGTGGTCGTTACCGAGACCGTACTCTAATACAATGGCCAGAATAATTACCAATATCATTTTGAAGTCTATTGAGGCATTGTAGCCTAGACCGCCATAGTTCTACAAGGAATCTAGCATGTCTTTCTGGAGGCACTAGCTTCAGGAATCTAGCATAATCATTCAGGTTTCTACATTACTCAACTCTCAAGCTCTGAGCCCATCCAGTGGGCAAGTGCCTGGTGAATGTCGAAGAGGGCAGTGAAGAAGACCATCACTGTGGTCAGCCTGGGTTGCTGCTTTTGGGGTTAAAGGTTTAGGGTTTAGGGTATCCTTTGAAAGGCCTTGCAGGTGCTATATAGGCGTTCTAAAGCGGTCATATAGGGGTTATGTGGAGGATATATTGGGGATTTCATTTGGGTTTTAGGGCAAAGTTACCATAACCAAGAATCAGCTGGGAAAGTGAAAGGGAAATTGAGATTACATAAGGGTTAATGCACGGATTTCAATTTGGATTACTCCGGACGTGTAATAATCCCCGCCCTCTCAATATGTCCTCCCACAACCCCTTAATAGTTTTTTGCCCGAATGGTGAATAGACCATGGGACTACATGGAAGAATCATTCTGGGAGGGGTCATTCTCAGAGGAGGGGATTAAACAATTTGGTTTCCTTAGAAACGGTAACTTAATTTTAATGCCCAACGGCAACCCCTTAAACCCTAAGCCCTAAACCCTAAAATCCTAAACCCTACCAAGCAGCGCCAAGGCCGCCGAAGTAAGCTGATACATGCGCGATGCCTGGCGCATACAACCTTGCCAGGGTCGTGGCGAATTCTAGAGGGTGTATATGGGGATTACATGGGCGTCATTTAGGGATTTTATAAGGTCATAACATACGGCTGATGCTTAGATTATGTAAGGCTATCTCTTGTCCTCCTTCCTCGCCCAGTGCGATCTTTCCAACCACCCATTAAATCATGGTCGCCAACCGTAGCACAAGTGTGGTACTTGTACTGGAAGCAAAAACTACCCCTAGGATGAATGAAATTAACGAGGCCTTGGACCGCCACCAAAGTAATTATCACCATCCCCCGTTATGCACTACTAACTAGCGGGCCTAAATCCTGTATATAGGGAATATAACCTCTATATCCCTAAACCCTGAGCCCTAATAGATAATCCCTATATAGCCCCTATATTCCTAAAGCCTAAATTGAAAATCTTAATAGACAATCCTTAAATAACACCTACATCCCTAAACCCTATATCTCTAAACCCTATATCTCTAAACCCTAAACCCCCAAACCCTAAACCCCTAAAGCCCTACACCCTAAACCACTAAACCCCTAAACCCCAATAGACTTAGATAATCGAACTTAAGCTCAAGAAGCCAGTCATCTCGCGCCATTTCGCCCGGGCAGCTGGGCCTCGCAGGTTTCCACTGAGGAGAGAGCGAGCAAAGGCCACAATGGTCAGTGAGATACCTTGGAGGCTGAGGGTTTTAGGGTTTTAGGGATTTAGGGTTTAGGGATTAGGGTTTAGGGATTAGGGATTTAGGGTTTAGGGATTAGGGATTAGGGATTTAGGGTTTAGGGTTTAGGGATTTATGGTTTAGGCTAGGAATCCCGAGGTTAGGGTTTTGGGAGCAAAGGCCACAAAGGTCAGTGAAATACCGTGGGGGTTGCGAAGAAGACGGAAGGTCTGTTGCCATATTTGATGTAAGGTTTGGGGGTCCGAGTTTATGGTTTGAATAATTTGGGCCTATAGGGCTACAAAGATCTTATGTTTAGGATCTACCTCCAAGCCTTCACCAGGCATGTGGGGGAATCTGGTTAAGCAGAATGAGGCTGTAGCTACACTCTACAGAGTGGCAATGGCAATTGCACGAGGATGTGCCAAGGCCTTCATGGTTGAGTCCAAACATCTATGCATGACCATAACCTGACAACCCTTAGGATAGTGACCAGTACTAGCGAGATTTCACTGCAGCTAGCAGGATTTACTCTAACGATGCTGGTACAAGTATAGCGATCACGGCGAGCAATAGTTAGCTTCGAGAAAAATGGCTGTTTTCAGTATGCTCACTATATAAGAACATGAAAAGCACGACAACCGGTGGGTCAAAATCAAGGTTCGATTTGGGGATAAGTAAATATCAGCCCAACTTAGGCGTCTATAGCGCTGGCCAAGTTTTGACCCATCGCCAACAAGGTTCCAGACACCTCTCCAGCAAGACACTTGCAGGTAGCATGCTCCTGACTGCAAAACACACAATCGAACTCAAAGTAATGTGAATGGGAATCCCTATAATCCCTATAGTTTCCATTTTTTCATTATCCCTACATTATACCCTTAAGTAGTAGCTTGACATAATACATAGAAACCCAGTGTTCAAAACAATCGGCCCCTCGTGTCTCTCTCTGGGATCTCTGCATCTAAGATTATATATCCAGGCAGGACTGCGGTGAACAAAATCCAGGTGAAGCAGCCGTATACCCTGCTTCACGAATGACCCGCTGCATCACGAGCTTACCCCTTTGTGCAGGCATGGCCCTATGGGGTAGTGCTCTCAATTTGAAGGGGAATGGGCAACAACGGCAGTCAAGAAGATGCTGCAACAGAAAATGCCGCAAAACTACCTTTCTAGGCTATGTAGCGACCACCGAAAATAGTGAATATCGGGATAATGGAAAACAAAACGGAAACTACTGTAGCATATTGGGGTTATATTGGCACACTGGAAATGAAATGGAAACTACTACTAACATCGCTACCAACTTTTCATCATTTTCATCAAGTCCTAGGAGACTTGCACACGCAAAGGCATGCGGGATGATCGTCAGCGCGAGATGTGCGTCTGGCTCTACTGCCAAGCCATACAGACACAAACGCACGATCAGGATAGCAATCCAAAGTAGTGCCTCGCAGTGTGCAAGAGGCTGGAGCTGATGAGTCGGGAGGGGTGTAGAAACTTATGACGAAAACCACAGGGGATGTGGAACACCTGGCTATTGAACATCAAGACACCATGACACAGCCATCGGTGATCTTCTGCCTGCAAAGATGGCTGTTTAAGCCCGAGCAGTTAATGCTCTCCTTGAGGTGCTCAGTTATCTGGATCTGCATCTGTGCACTCTTGAAGTAATGTAACAAGCCACCACATGAGCCGATAGTCAGCAGTGATCCCAGCTTGATGGCTACGTCGGTTGCAGGCCAGCTACTGCAAAAATCGGCAGTAACAGCTTCACTTGCAGAGGCCGTGCAAAAGCTCAGGGAGGTGGCTGCCAGCCCAACCCCACCTAGGTTCCCAAGCAACCCATCAATAACAAGGGTACCCTTTTTCCTACTGTCCAGCTTTAATAAGGAGACCCCCAACCCTAAACCCTAAACCCTACCACTGGCTACCTAGCCACCCAAGCTCAGCACCAGTACAAAGCAGTGGTATGCCTTTGAGAAGAACATCATCCGCGGATCTAAGTCTTCACCTTGGTAAAGCCAGATCCAAAGGCTATGCACCTCATTTATCCTCACCTGAACCCCAAAAAATGTAGAATAATAGCCTTTTGGGCTGTTTTTAGGGATTTTGGGCTATTATTTTACTCACTTTTGGGGTCCAGGCATTTACCACATGGGGTTGTATAAAAACCCCGTATTGAATCCTTCATAAACTTCAACCTTATCGTTTTGCTTTTTACTCCTTATCGTTTTGCTGT